TGGTCAAATGTGGTTACGGTGGAGGAGGAGAGGGGGGGCGGGTCCGGGAGCTCTTCTGCGAGGGGGGGCGTAGCCGAATTTGGTCACGGTGGTCACGGTGGGGCGAAAAGGGGGTCCTGGTGCCTCTCCGGGAAAGGCGGGGCCGTCACCAAATTCGGGAGGGGGGCCCACGAGAGAGTTCTTCCAGAGAGGTTTGCAACGAAGCTTGGTTACGGTGGGGAGGCAGGTGGGGTAGCAGAGCGAGCGACATGGGCACGGCGGTGCCACGCAAACTCTTCGCGCGGGTCTTCGGCGAAGCTCCTTGTGGGGATGGAAGGCGTGCCAGGAGGGGCGAGCGCAGTGGGCGCGGCGATGCGAGGGCAGAGGCGTCAGGGAGGAGGGAGAGGAGGAGAGGAGGTGACCCCAGGATGAGGAGGAGGTGGAGGAGGAGCAGGAGCAGGAGAGGGAGAGGAGGGAGAGGAGGAGAGGAGGGGGAGGAGGAGAGGAGGAGAGGAGGGAGAGGAGGTGGCCCAGGGAGGAGACGAGGGAGACGAGGAGAGGAGGGAGAGGAGGGGAGAGGAGGTGACGCGAGGCGCTGCTGATTCAAGACGAGGACCCAGCACCACAGGATGGTGCAGAGAAGCTGCACGAGCATAAACCGTCGGAGCTCCGCGCGCATCTGCGCTGACGGGGCCCCAGCAGCGCCTCGCGCGCCGCCCCGGGCGCGCTCCGCGCGCCAGGGACGGGGCCCCAGCGCAGCTTCAAGAAATCCGCGCGGGCCTCCGAAGGTGTGTGTGTGTGTGTGTGCTTACTCCAGATTTCGTAAGAAAGGGGAGGGGGTCACAACCCTCTCAGACGAGAAGTTTTAGACCCCCCTCAGACCATCCACGAAAGAGCGGCCCTTTGCCCAGACCCCCCCCCGAACCCTCGAGACAGCTCAAATCAGACCCCCCCCCAAATGTGACCCCCACCACTTTATTGTGGAATCCGGAGTATGCAGTTGCTTGTCCTTTTGGAGGCGCTGCTCGAGCAGCTCTCGAGCGAGACGCTCTTCGCCGACTTCCTGCGGGCGCTCCCCGGCGCGTCCGGGCGGGAGGACCTCTCCTTCCCCGAGCTGCGCCGCGCCGCGATGTTCCGGCGGCTGGACGCGGACGGCGACGGCAAGCTGAGCGCGCAGGACCTCGTGGCGTTGTTCCGGCAGGACTACGCCTGCCTGCGGGAGGTGCCGGTCACCGATTCCTTCGAGGCTCGAAGAATCGGGGGCGGAAAAGAGGGGGGTGATGACTAGGGGGGGGTGGATAACATGGCGTGGGCCATGATATCCCCCCAGATCTCATGGCGCCTCTTATTTCGTTACGCCCCTGGCCCCCCCGCTGGGCCGCGCACATGCCGCCGGTCATGATTTGCACCCCCCCCTCTTGGACACCCCCCTCTTGGCCGCTCCCGAAGGAAGAGAAGCGCTATTTTTGCTGGTGCTCCGCGCGGATGTCTTGGGTCTGCGCCGGGGCCCCCCGGCGGCGCCTCCGGCGCCGCCCCCGGCGCGCTCCGCGCGCCAGGGACGGGGGGTCGGCGCAGACCCGAGAACTCCGCGCGGAGCGCCAGAAGCTCAGGTTGATGGCGTGTTTTTTTTCTCTCTCAGAGCGTGAACTACCTACCCCGCTTTCGCTTCCAGGCAAAACCAAGTCATACCACGCGCCTCCTCGTCGAGCGGCCTGGCCAGTACAGGCCGTAGCTTGGCATCGCTTGGTATCTCTTGGAAGCGAGGGTGGTCAAAAGCGAGGCAGGTTTGTTTGCCCCCTACTCTGTTTCTTTCCAGAGGTGAAGAAGGCCACCACCGTGGCGAAGCTGAGGCCTGGCGACGTCGTGGAGGGCGTGGGCAGCCCGCGCCTCGAGGCGTCGGGCGCCCTGCGCGTCGAGTGCCGCCTGCCCGCGGGGGCGGGCAATGGCTTCGTGACAGTCTCGGAGGGCCCCGGCGCCTTCCTGAAGCACCACACGCCGTTCGACGCCTTCTGCGCCTCCGCGGAGGCTCGGGGGTCGACGCCTCCTCCTCCTCTTCCTCCTCCTCCTCCTCCTCTTCCTCCTCCTCCTCCTCCTCCTCCGCCTCCTCCTCCTCCTCCTCCTCCTTCTCCGCCTCCTCCTCCTCCCCCTCCTCCTTGGCAGACACGCTGGCCCAGCGAGGAGCGGAGGCTGCCACCGACCCCATCCGCGGGCTTGTCAAAGCCTTGAACATTTGTTGACGCTAGAGACACTTTAGTGCACCAGTCGGGGGTGGACAGAACCCCCAACAGTGACACGTCGATTAGTGAATTGTCCGTTTTCGGTTCTCGAGATGGCGCCGTGGCCGTTCTTTTCCAGGCTTGCGCCCGCCAGGTGTGGGCCTCGGGTCGCTTTCGCTAAACCACGTTTCACGAAAGGGGGGTCTGCCCACCCCCGAGAGGCGGCCGTGGACGCAGCGACCAAGTCGATGGGGACCCTCGGGTTCCAGATCAACGCGCGTCTCGGCGAGCTCCCCAGGGCCGCCCCGCCGGGAGCCAAGGGCGCAGAGAGGCGCGACGCGCGCCTGGCAGAGCTGCGCGCCAGCTGCACCGCGCAGGCGCAACGGGCCGGCGCGGCGCAGGCGGGCGTGCTCGCGCTGCGGAAGGCCTTGGCAGCGGAGAGGGCCAGCTTCGCGAGGAAGCAGGCTGCGGAGGACGCGGTGCACGACCTCGCCAGAGAGCGACGAGAGGCGGCCGCCGTGTTGGGACCCGCCGCCGAGCGCGCGCGAGCGGTGCAGGCGGCCCTGAGGGCGCTGAGGGACGCGGCAGAGCCGCTCGGCAAGGCTCGATCGGCGACCAGAAAGGGTGTGGTTATTACGCCTGGGCGTGGTTGGCGATCGGCGCTTTGGGGGGCCCAGGGGGCACGGCACTGCCCTCGTCGGGCCTCCTCTGGGCGCGGCGCAGAGCTCCATCGAGGTCGGCGCCCGCCCCCCCCCCCCCCGGGATGCTGTCTGCAAACCCTACCCGTCGGAGTCGCCGCCGGCTCTCCAGACCTCGCTAAAAGGGGCTCGAGTATAGATGGCGTCGGTGGATGGCGACGCATCGCCGATGCATTGGGGGTGCAGCTCGATATGCATCAGGAGGGAAAAAACACACACAGACACAATTACTTTGTCGACTCCCTAGAAAATATGGGAAAATATGGGAAGTGGGGGGGAAGACAGAAACCCAGACAATATGGGAAACTATGGGAATATTTTTATTTGTGTGTATTTATTTGTGTGTCCCAGGGCCCCTTCAATGTAGGGACGCAAGCAATGACAGAAACATGAGAAGTCGAAGGTCCGCGCGGATTCCTCGGGTCGGCGTTGGGGCCCCCTGGCGGCACCTCCAGCGCCGCCCCTGGCGCGCTCCGCGCGCCAGGGAGGGGGGCCAGCGCCGATCTGAGAAATCCGCGCGGACCTCCGAGTTTTCTATGCTTCTTTCATTGCATAATCCCCTGACGTGGAGCCCAACGCTTTCCACGCCGGCGTCGCCGATGCCTCGCCGATGTCGGCCATGCATCATCGGCGATGCGGCGCGACCCTCTGACCCCATCTATTCGAATTCCACTTGCCTCCAAAGGCGGAAGGGGAGGCGCTGGAGGCGTCCACAGCTCCAGCGGAGGTGCTGCAGGAGGCCACGCGGCTCGTCACCGCCCTGGCCGCCGCCGTGGCCGCCGCCAGGAGGGCGCTGGCGGAGGAGGTGGGGCGCCTTGCTGGCGCCACGAGCGGCCCGAGGCTGGAGGCCAGGCCTCCTCCTCCCCCTCCTCCTCCTCCTCCTCCTCCTCCTCCTCCCGCCTCCGCCTCCGCCTCCGCCTCCGCCCTCCTCCCTCCTCCTCCCTCCTCCTCCTCCTCCTCCTCCCTCCTCCTCTCCTCCTCCCTCCTCCTCCTCCTCCTCCTCCTCCTCCTCCTCCTCCTCCTCCTCCCTCCTTCCTCCTCCTCCTCCTCCTCCTCCTCCTCCTCCTCCTCCTCCTCCTCCTCCTCCTCCTCCTCTTCCTCCCTCCTCATCCCCCTCCTCGAGGCCAGGGAGACCTTGGCCACCTACCTGGGCGACGCCGACGCGGCAGACAGGGCGGGGCAGCAGGTGTTCGCCATGGTGCGCTCGAAGTGCGCCATCCTCGTGGACGCGTGCTGGTCTGCAGGCGGCGCTGCTCTGCGGGCCCTGCGGGACCCCGAGCAGCTCTTCGAGGAGCTGGCCTCGAGCGACGGCCGCATCCCAGAGGAGGCCTTCTGCAAGCAGCTCGGGTCCTTGGAGGACGCCCCTGTGCGGCCAGAGCACGCGAGGCTCCTGTGCTCGTGGCTGGGGCAGGGCGGGGTCAGCAGGTTTGCGTTCCTGAAGTTCGCGCAGCGCTTCTACCGGGTCAGGAAGGACAGCGTCCTCTCCGAGGAGCTCCACATCGGCTCCTCCCGAATGGTGCGCAGGCTCGAGGTGGACGAGCTGCTCCTGCAGCTGGGTGCCTCCGCCACCGATGAGAAGGCCGGCGTGGAGCGAATCCACGCGCGTGCACTGCGCGACGGTGCGATGGGTTGGGTGACGCTGACGGGCAACAAGGGTTCGCCCTACCTTGAGGAGGCGGAGAAGCCGGCGTACCTCTGCACGGCAGACATGCTTTTGGACGCGGATGGCGGCGACGCTGGCCCAAAGGTCACGCGCACTCTCAGGGCTGGCGAGGTTGTCGAGCTGCTGGACGGCCCGCGCGAGCCCGGGCTGCGTTGCCGTGGCCGCCCGCTCGGCGGGGGCGCCGTTGGCTGGTTCACGCTCGGCGCGGCCACCGCGCCGTGGAAGCCCGTCTACAGGTGCCTGAGGGCCACTCCCCTGCTCAAGCAGGCTGCTGCAGAAGAGGCGGAGCCCATCCGCAGCCTCGCCGAGGGCGAGACCCTGGAGCTCCTGGACGGGCCCCGGGCCTGCGAAGGAGGCGCCGTGCGCATGCTGGGTCGCGCGCTGCGGGACGGAGCCGTCGGCTGGGCTGCCGTCAGGGAAGCCGGGGGTCTCAAGGCCCTGGCGTCGCTGGCGGAGAGATCGGCTGCCAGCAGCTGCATGGCGTCCTCCAAGGCGGCCAGCCTGGCGTCGCTGGAGGTCCCCCTGGCGGCCTTCAGCAAGGCCCCTGCCGAGGGGCCTCCAGCGGCCTTCAGCAAGGCCACGGCCGAGGGGCCCCCAGCGGCCTTCAGCAGGGGCCCGGCCGAGGGCCCCCCGACGCTCAGCAAGGCCGCCGCCGTCGAGGGGCCCCCGACGCTCAGCAAGGCCGCCGCGGCCGAGGGCCCCCCGGCGGCCTTCTGCAAGGCCGCCCCGGACCGGCCCGCGTTCAGCAAGGCGGGCCTGGCGGCGCCGCCGGCGGGCCCGCGGCCAGGATGAGCTCTGGCGCGTGGCGGCGGGGCAGAGCGGCCGCCGGGGCACCGCGCAGGCGCGGCGCGGGCGCCGGAGGCCTCGTGCGCGCAGCGCTGGGCCTCCCGGAGGGGGCCCGAGCAGAGGTCAGCCACGCGCAGGGCCAGAGGTCCAACGCAGTGGAAAGATCAAGACGGGCGTTGTTCGCAATTTTCGGCCTCGAGGACCCTCGCCAAAGATCAAGACGGGCGTTTTTCGCAATTTTCGGCCTCGAGGACTCTCGACCCTCGCCGGGCCCCGGGGCCGTCAGGAAACGATGCAGGATGAAGAGCCGGTCCTGGGGAAATGGGGTCGAGCCTTCCGGGGACCCCGCACGGAAAAAAGCACGGCATCGGATCTCTGGGGAGGGGGGCGGGGGGAGGGCTCCTTAGAAGCACCCCTGCTTCTCAGAAGGCGCGGGCCTTATCCATAGATGTGAGGCCGGCGCCTTCAAAGAAGGAGCCTCCTCCTCATCAGAGCGTGAATTACCTACCCCGCTTTCGCTTCCAGGCAAGACCAAGTCATGCCACGCGCCCCCTCGTCAAGCGGCCTGGCCAGGACAGGCCGCAGTTTGGCATCGTTTGGTATCTCCTTGAAGCGAGGGCGGTCAAAAGCGAGGCAGGTTTGTGTCCCCCCTATCTCAAAGAAGCCCTCGCCCCTCCCTCCACCCCCCTGGTGCGCGCCGGCCCAGGGGGGCCCCCAGGTGGGGTCCCCGCGCGGAGGTGCCGGGGAGCACCGCGGGCCCCAGGGCCCGCTCGAGCCATGTGCGCCACGCGCGACGGGAGGCTCGCAAGGGCGAGCAGGCCAAGGCACAGCGGCGGCGAGCCCGGGGGGAGTCGGCCACGCGCAGAGGGGGGCAGGGGGAGGGGGGAAGGCTTCTTAGAAGCACCCCTGCTTCTTAGGAGGCGCGGGCCTTCTCCATTAACGTAAGGCCCGCGCCTTCTAAGAAGCAGCCTCCTTCTAAGAAGCCTTCCCCCCTCCCCCTACCCCCTTCTGCGCGCCGCCAAGGGAGGTGAGAAGGGGCGGGAGTCTCAGAACCGGGGGGCGGCAAATAATTAGGGGAGTGATGACTAGGGGGGGGTGGATGTCATGGCGGGGGCCACGGTGTCTCCCCAGATCTCATGGCGCCTCTTCTTATTTCATTACGTCCAGGCCCCCCCCCATGGGCCGCGCACATGCCGCCGTCATGATTTGCCCCCCCCCCCTCTTGGACCCCCCCCTCTTGGCCGCTCCTGACAGAAGGCTCGGAAGTTCCCCGGCCTTCTGGGAAGTGTTATGATCCTTCCCCAGAGACACGGAAGGCTGATCAGAAGGCCAGAGGGTTCTTGAGAATGCCCGTTGCCTTCTGAGATGGCCTTCTCCGTCTCATTTCCCCGCCTCGTTCGCCGCCGAGATGGGGTCGGAGGAACGCGCCGCATCCGCGATGCACCTGCGATGCGGCTCGATGCGGAGCCCGAGTCTCTCCACGCCGACGTCGCCAATGCTTCGCCGATGCATCCACGATGCCTCGGCGATGCGGCGTGATCCTCCCGCTCCGTCTGCTCGGGCCCCATCCGGGAGGCCTCCAGAGTTGCTGGAGGGGGAGGCGGTGCAGGACGACCTTCTGGAGGATCGAAACGGGCACGGAAAAGATGGGGACGAAGACCAACAGCCGTTCCTGCCAGTGTTAAGTCGGGCTTGGCCATCTACAGGGGGACTATTCAAAAATAGTCAAAAATAGTCTGGGGACTATGTTTCTAGTATTTTTGACCATTTGGGAATATTGTTTCAGTTTGTTTCAAATTTTCGTCGAAAATCCTCCTGTAGGGGGACTCGCCCGACCTAATGCCAGTGTTGACAAAATCGTTGTCTGTGTCGCCGCGGGCGGTGCCCACCCGAGACACGAGCCCGCCTGCCCAGCAGCGGCCGCTGTCGGTCGGTGGCGATGTCTGCAGATTGGGCATCGAACCCCCTGTGTCGTAGAAGAAGAAGAAGAAGAAGACGAAGAAGAAGAGGACGAAGAAGAAGAAGAAGAAGAGGGAAACAAAACAAAAACAAAAACAAAAAAAACAAAAAAAAAAAAAAAAAACGCCATAAGCGTAATAAACTGTTGGCGCTCCGCGTGGATTTCTCGGATCGGCGCGGGGGCCCCCCCGGCGCTGCCTCCAGCGCCGCCTCCGGCGCGCTCCAGCGCGGGTCCAAGAGATCCGCGCGGAGCGCCAAAAGTTGATGTTTGTGGCGGTTTGTTCGTCTTCTACTCTTGTCCGTGCCCACTGCGGACGTGCCAAGACCTGGTGGAGAGGGCTGCCCGACGGCGCCCGCGCCGGTGGACCCCGCGACCCGTCGGGCGAGGCGGCCCACGGTCGGGAGCGGTCGTGGGCAAAGGTGCGGGTTCCCCCACCACCCGCGGGGGGGAGGAGGGGGGGGAGGCGGAGGAGAGGGGGAGGGTGATGAAGGATGAGAGGAGGAGGAGGAGGAGAAGGAGGAGAAAGAGGAGGAAGAGGAGGAGGGGGAAGGGGGAGGGCGGAGGAGGTGGAAGGAGGAGAGGGGAGGAGGAGGAGGAGGAGGCGGATGGGAGGGGGGGGAGGGAGGGAGGAGGCGGAGGAGGAGAGGAGGAGGATGAGGAGAGGAAGGAGGAGAAGGAGGAGGAGGAGGTAGGGAGGAGGTAGGAGAGGAGGAGGAGCGAAGAGGAGCGAGGAGGAGCGAGGAAAGGAGCGAGGAGGAGTCGCGGGAGGAGCGAGGGGAGCGAGGAGGAGCGAGGAGGAGCGAGGAGGCTCGAGGAGAGCGAGGAGGAGCGAGGAGGAGCGAGAGGAGCGAGGAGGAGGAGGAGGAGGCAGGAGGAGGAGGCTCGAGGGGCCAGGACGCGCAATGGGCGTGAGGAAGGGGGGGACTTCAACGGAAAGGTGGAGGGAGGATGACGGGGAGGAGCGGGGAGGAGCGGGCAGGGAAGGAGAGAGAGGAAGGGAGGGGGACCAGGGGGAGGACGAGGAGTGACGAGGAGGAGAAGGAGGAGGAGGAGGAGGAGGAGGAGAAGAAGGGAGGGAGAGGAAGGAAGGGTAGAGGAAGGGAGGGAGAGGAGGGGGAGGGAGAGGAGGGGGAGGGAGGGAGAGCAAGGAGGGAGAGGAAGGAGGAGGAATAGGGGGAGGAGCGGGCGGGAGTGGCTGATCGTGAGGGGGATCAGTAGCAGTATCCATCTCGTCCTCCCAGTCACCTTCACAGCCTCCTCTCTCTCTCTCTCTCTCTCCCTTTCGACGTTGGCCAGACCTCCTCCTCCTCCTGGATCCTCGGTCCTCCTTCACCTGAAGGATGAAATAGGATGAGGTGGAGAAAGGAGGAGAGAGAAGGGGCCCTCTTGCGCCCGCACCCGCAGCAACCTTAATATTTTCTCGCGCTTCGCGAAGTCGGAATCCCCATTTTTGTTACTGGGAGAACGCAACAGCCTTTATCTCCCAGTGGCAAAACTTGAGAGGGCGCAAGAGGGTCCCTCTTCTCTCCTCCTTTCTCCTCCTCATCCTATTTCTATCCTTCCAGAATCGAGGGGGAGAAGGAGGAGGAGAAGGATCGAGGAAGAGACCGGTTCGAGAATCGAGAGGGAAAGGACGGGGGAAGAGAAGGAGAGTTCGAGGTCCAGACGAGGAAGGCCCGAGGATCCAGGAGGAGGAGAAAGAAGGTTCGCAGGCCAGCGAACAGCGTGTATAGCATCTGATGTCCCACGCCCTTTTCTGGAACCAAATTGCGTGGCGGATGGTCTATTCTTCGTTCCAGCATCTTGCAAGCGCCGTAAGATAAGACTTGCAAGAAGTTTGCATGCAACGCTAAGCAAGCCGATAAGTTGATAGGTATCGCATTTGTCGACGGCGCCTCGTTTTTGTAATCAGCTGACATTATCGGCTGGTTCCACTCTTCAGGCACTGTCTCGTCGTTCCAGCACGTGTTGCATGGATCGTTTATCCACTCGAGGCCATCAGGGTCCGTAGCGGCTGTTTTTCAATACTCTTTAGGTGCGTCATCAACTCCAGAATTTTTTCCCCGCTTCAACTTGCGCATTGTTTTGCCCACACGTCCGTCGTACAATTTGCTTCCAAAACTGGCAGTTGACCGGCTACTGGATCGTCGTCCAGTAGTTCCGCCAACCGTATATTCCATTGCCTTTTCTCCAAGCATTCTGCCACAGTTTCAATTCTTCGTGCGTTGTCCACCGCATACGCACTCATGTTTCTTAGCCTTCCTTGGCGGCGCGGTCTGGGCCATCAATCTTTTCTCAGAGCGTCCCAGTTGACGTTCGACACCAATGGATAGATCAAAATTCGCATCTTGGTTGTATGATTTACGCACTTCTTTCAGGAAGACGTGCGACATTATGCACCAGAATGATCGGACTACTTAGGTTCAGACCGTTGCTATGGGGCAAAGAGCATGCCATCCGATAACACGTCGTAACGCAAAACAATATTGGCACAAAGGGACGTTCAAGCGCAATGGCAATGTTTTATTTGTTCTGGGGGATACCGTATATTCTAAGCTTGTTACGCTTGCATTTCTTTATAACTGATACAACTCAATGCCGTGCCTAGACCGCCAGACCTTGCAATGTTACGAATCTCAACGGCGGCCCATTATGGTGCATGAGAAACCTACTCCGTACAATACCACGTTCTCTCGCATTGGTTTACACTAGATTCATGGTTATGTACTGGCGAGGTTGCAATTTTGGATCACAACGATCCCAATTTGATCAATGGCAATGGGTATTGCTACGAAGAGAGCCACAATTAACGGAATCTCTCGCGGGATAGATATTCGCGGTTTGCGGAATTGCAAACATGCATATTTTGCGAGGACGCGGCATCTTCATGGGGAGCGAGCAATGCGAAGCGCCAACCCGGACAAATAAAGGTATTCAACATGTGGGCGATGGACGTGCCCCTGCCTCCACTAATCACGCGCGGTATCGGCGCAAATGAGCGATTTGAACGACGAGGGTGGTGATGAATCCCGCCGAATGATCATTATAATGGTGGGTTGAAGGCCGATTTG